GGTACCAAAAGATTTAGGGACATGACCCCTATCTTTTAAGCTCAAAGCCCTAGGGTTATGAACCCTCTTGGGCACATATGGTGCACTAACATGGTCAAAACAATATTCATTCAAATGACCCTTCCGATTGCAATTTGTGCAATGAAAGAGATCCATTTGTTTTTGTGGACCATTAGCTCGTGCACGGGAATCATTTGCAAACATGGTCAAAACAATATTCATTCAAATGACCCTTCCGATTGCAATTTGTGCAATGAAAGAGATCCATTTGTTTTTGTGGACCATTAGCTCGTGCACGGGAATCATTTGCAAATAAAGATTTTCTTTTAAAATTATTTTGCAAATGAGAAACATCATTAAACAAAGGTGGTTTACTTGAGAAATTTGGCAAGTTTAAATATTTATTCAAATCATAATAAAACTTCGCCAAATGACCAAATCTACCACAAACATCACATTTAAACTTTTGTGGCTTAATAAAATCATTTGTCAAATGAGATTTTCTTTTCAAATCAAAGCAATATTTGGCCAAATGACCAAAACGACCACAAAGATCACATTGCATGATAAGCATATGCATGTGTATGTGATGAGGAAGCTACATGAGATGCACAAGAAAGATTAATATTCTTATGTTTTTGTGCATCATAGCAAAATTTAGCTAGATGGCCTTTACGGCCGCAAATTGAACACTTATAAACTTTGCTATATATGTGTATATGTGTGCATGATGAGTAGATGATGATTTAGACTTGACACACATATCCATAAGCTTCTTATGATTATTGATGCATGTTTTTAAAGTTGAATCTAAGGATGAAATGCATTTTTTCATAAGATTCAAGTCTTCATTTTTTGGCACATATGCACCTTTAGAAGTAGAACATAAATAGTTATCTATAAAAGAAGCCGTATCATTTTGTATGTTCTTTACTTCTAACATGGCATTATCTCTTTCATGAGTTAAGCTAGAAATGGATGATGTTAATTTTTCATTTTCCAAGTTTAACATATCATTGTTTTCTTTAAGATTTTCATTTTCTTTAGCAATGATATCAAACTTGGATACTAGCTTCTCATGATCGGATTCTAAATTATCATGATTGCATTTTAAATCATTAAAATCTTTATGTAATTTGTTGTAGGCATGCAATAATTTCTTAGATGCACAAACAAGTTCATCACTAGATAATTCATTATCGGGTTCGAACTTGCAAACCTCACTAGGGCTATCGCCTAGTGGTCGTGTGCATGATGAAGCTCCAATATTACTTGAGGAAGAGTCCGCCGGAATCCTTTGGATCTCCTCCAAGTTACCATGATGTGCTTCTATGAATGTCCACAATTTGTAAGAAGAGTCCGCCGGAATCATTTGGATCTCCTCCAAGTTACCATGATGTGCTTCTATGAATGTCCACAATTTGTAAGCACTATCAAAAGAAACAAGCTTGTTAGAAATAGAAGAATCAAGTGCATTATGCATATATTCTAACACAATCTTGTTCATGGTAAACAATCTTTTGTCATTTTTACTCCACTTGGATTTCTCCATAGTGGGTACAATATAAGCATTATCAATAATTCCCCATAGATCAATATTTTTAGATTGCACAAAAAGTTTAAATCTAGAAGCCCATTGTGCATAGGGAAAGTTAATGAATTTAGGAGCAACATTGGATTCATAGCCTAACAAAGGTGCACAATTCATGTTCATGATAAATATATGTGTGCAAGCAAGACAAATGCAATCAAAACAAGATTAGCACAAAAAGATAACTTGGATCTTTAACTCAAGGCGATTAGACCTTAAATCAAAGAGCACCAAGCTCTGATACCAATTGTTAGACCCTAGAGGGGGGGTGATTAGGGTCTTATGCTAATCTAATCCGATTAAATGCCAATTAAAAATAATTAACAAGTTGTATTCTTGCAAGGTAGATATATAAAGAGATATGTGCAAGAATAAGCAATATACACAATGAGATATATCCTATATGATGAATATATATATGCAAGGATATATAAACTAACACAAGATAATATATCCTACCAACAAGGTACAACGACTCCTCAGTCGGAACAAAGTCCTTGGTGTTAGACCCTAGAGGGGGATGATTAGGGTCTTATGCTAGTCTAATCCGATTATATGCCAATTAAAATTAATTAATAAGTTATCCTAGCAAGTATGAAATACCATAAGATATATGAGCTAGGATAAGCAATATAAACAATGAGATATATCCTATATGATAAAATATATATGCAAGGATATATAAACTAACACAAGGGTAAACAATATGAAACAAGATAGAGGATGATATGAATAATGAGACAATGGCGATATGAGCAATGAGCACAAATATAAATGAACGCCAAAGCACACTCAAACACACTATATGATCACGGAGTTCGGACCTTCCGTCCTACGTCTCCGCTCCCCACTCCCGGGGAGAAATCCACTATCACAACCGGGTTTTCTACGCTCACTCGAATAACGTTTACACCTCACAGTGTCGGTTTTCAACGCTCACCGAACAACGTCACTCCTCACACTCGGTTTTCTAGTTCACCGAAAACTTCACAACACACTCGGTTTTCTAGCTCACCGAAAACCTTACACCACTCACAATGTAACAAATATAAATTTGTTCTCTATAATAGATGAGAACTCAATTAAGCACAAACTCAATGTTACAATCTCTCACAACCCTAATATACTATGTATGCAAATACAATAAGCTCAAATGGGTGTGTGTAACAATGAGATAATATAATCAAATCTAAACTCAATATAAAAACTAGCTTTAAAGAATGATAATCAAATAACTAAGCAAATGTAAAGCTAGATAGAGTTTAGAAAACTTCTCCAATAGATGACAAGATGGAGAGATGGAGATTGGAGCCCAAACAAGAAGATGATCTCCTCCACTTGTGAAAACAATCTTCAAACCAAACAAACACTAAAACACACTTAAACCCTTGTTTAAAACTCTTTAAACTTGTTTAAAACATTTCTTGAGTACCCTTAGAAGTATGAGGGCATGGAGTATATATAGGCTCATGAAACAACCCCAAAAACCAATAAAAACACCCCCAAAACATTAAAATAAACAAAAAATCCGGTCGGCCGGAGTTACTGTAGCAGTGCGCAGCTGTTTTGTAAAATCAATTTAAAATAGTAAATGAACTCCAAAAATTATGAAATTTTGTGGGAATGTTCTAGACATGTAGAATAACATGTCAGAGAAAGAATTTCTGAAAAATATTTTCCCAGTTGAGAGAAATAAATATTTGAACACAAATTTACAGTTTCTAAAAAACTGCTGACGTACACGATTTTGTAAAATCAATTGGGAACAGTAAATCAACTCCAAAAATAGTAAAATTTTGAGAGAAGTTTCTAAACATGTAGATAAACATTTCAAAGAAAGAAATTCTTAAATACCACTTCCCATTTATGAAAACTCATCTGTTTTGTAAAACATGCACGAACATGCACGAATGAAAAACATGATTTTGTAAATTCCATTAAACATAACAAATCAATTCCAAACTTGATGAAACTTTACGAAATGTTTATAAACATGAAAACAAACATGTTAGAAAAAGAATTTCTCAAATTGAATTTCCATTTGTGAAAACTCATGTATTTTGCAAGTATGTCCAAAACATGAAAACCTAAAACCATGCATGTATATATATAACTATAAATAATATCACAAAGTTTTCTCAAAATAGCGCATTTTGTGAGAAAATCCAATATTGTGTGTGTATATGATATTGAGCTTAGAGTATTAAACACACATAATATAAACCTATACTAAATTTACCCAAGTTTGATCTTGATCTTCATTGTAGATCAACTTGGTATACATGCGGATGAAGTTTGAACTTGATCTTTAACTTTGAATTGCAAGGCTTCAACCCGACATTCCGCCAACCTCCATTTGATATGATCGTTATGGCGCAATCCATCCAACCTCCAACAACGTTGTTTGCCTACAATACATAGGAATGTACAAACACTAGACAAACAACATTAGTAGTAAATTGTTTGTAAATCATCATCAAAACAAGAAGGCCAACAAAAGTCTTAACTAACTCTCTTTTGTGTCTTTTCTTCATACTAAAGGCAGGGAATTGCTTGAGTAAATTCTAGATAGTAGAGATCTTCCTTCTTAACTGTTGCTCAAATGCCTATAAGAGGTGTGAACTTTGTAAGAAAATTATAGCAAGGAAAGAATTACATGCATGAGTTAAAATGAAAGCTTGATCAGGTTGAAATTTATTTTAAGGAAAAAATTACGTTTTAGTGATCAACGCTGGTAATTTTTGAATTAGTGTATTTTATTTACTTTGTGTTCTTTCTGTATCATAATCTTTGGACATGGGTAATTTTTAAAAGACGTATCTTAGAGTAAAAATACTTATAATAATTAACTTATCTTTATAGTCTTTACATGGATTCGAATTAATTTATAATTGTTCTCAATTTTTAGATATGCTAATAAGCTATATATATTAATGCAAATGGTAATTTATTCCCACAAATATAGTTAAATGAAATAGTCTACATGTGAATAAATTACGACACACATAGCCTAATGAATTAATCTCATAATTAAAATAAAGTTTTTAGCATTCTATATTTTCTCATGAAGTTTATTATCTGATCCTCGTATTTTCCTTGATAAATAGATTTCCCGCTGTCAAAAAACAAATACATATGCATTTTAGTGTATAATGACAAATTAAAATGACAAATAAAAAACTTATGCTATATTTTCTCATGAAGTTTATGAGTTTAATGTTATAATTCGATGTTTTCCCTCTCTTAAAATCCTATTGAATAGATGCACTACTTTGGTGAAATCTGTAAATAAAATTAGGGATATATGCCTATAAGTTTCTCGTTTAAATTGCTTGCTTAAGATGAGCGTTGTTAGTCCAATTTGAAGTCTTAACTAACTCTCTTTTGTGGTTTTTTCTTCATACTAAAGGCAAGGAAATGCTTGAGTAAATTTGAGGCAGTATAGATCCTTCTTCTTAACTGCTGCTCAAATGGCTATAAAAGGTGTGAACTTTGCAAGAAATTTATCGCAAGGAAAGAATTGCCAGCATAAGTTAAAATGAAAGCTTGATCAAGTTGAAATTAATTTTGGAAGAAACTACCTTTAAGTGATCAACGCTGGTAAGTTTTTAATTAATGTATTTTAATTACTTTGTGTTGTTTCATTGTCATAATCTTAGGACATAGTTAATTTTTGAAAGACATATCTTAGAGTGAAAATACTTATATTAATTTATCTTTATAGTCTTTATATCGTTTCAACAGCTCTATTGTATATACCGCTGTCAATAAACAAATACATATGCATTTTAGTATACAATGAGAAATTAAAATGACAAATAAAATACTTATGCCATTATCATTAAGTTTCTTTATTCTAGTGCATCTACCATTTAGCGTAACTGGGTAGCAAGAAAATTTTGGATGTACATTCTTAATTTGTTTGATGTTTTGAGGAAAGGAATATATCAGTTATAACTATAAATTAAAAGGATTTATTGATTCTTGTTGCTCATTGTTATTGTTGGCTTTTTGTGTTTACATTGAGGTATTGGTTGTTAGCTTCTTATGGTATGTAATGGTCTGTTTGAGCTTAATGACAGATGGCTTTCTTTGGTACTCAATTCTGGTATGGGTTCTTTTGTTTTATGTTTTTTTTTAGATGGGCAGTGATGATGATAACAAACTGAGAATGCATCCTATTTTAATTAATTATGTAATATTTAGGCGAGGCAATTTTGTGTGGAATACAACCTACATTGATATTACCATGTTTGGGTGATGTAATCCCTCATAATAGCAGCCTACATTGCATCATAGTTTTATAGGAGAGACAATCTTTTATGACTAATCTATTTTTATCGTGAGCCCTAGTAAGTCTTCATAGATTTTGGTGATGAATTCGAGCTTGTTTAGCTATAATTTTAGTAGGAATTGGTGCTATTTTACAGCTTTTATAACTGACATAAATAGTTAAAATAGCTGTTTTTATCATGTAGCTTTTATAATTAAAAGAGCTTGTTTTATCATGTAGTCAGCAACAATATCTTTATAATTTGAATAAATTAATATATTTATATTACCTGTGAAGTTCCTAAAGCATCGAAATATACAACTTAATATAAATTGTTGCTTCTGAAGCCTTTATTGTCTCTGGTTGAGTATCAGAGAAATTCACAGACGAAGTCACTAACTGTAATTTGTTCTCACTGTGAGTATTCCTACATGTATAATGAAAAAGTTATTATCAGTAGTATAGATAGTTCATAATTTAATAATTTAAATGTTATGTTTCACAAAAAGTATGTTTTAAGCACTCTATTTTCTCATGAAGTTTATGAGTTTAATGTTATAAGTTGATGCTTTTCATCTCTTAGAATCCTATTGAATGTATGCACTAATTTGGTGAAATATGTGAATAAAATTGGGCATATATATAAATTGCCTATAAGTTGCTCAATGAAGTCATACCTGCTTATGATGAGCATTGTTAGTCCAATTTTGAAGTCTTAACTCTCTTTTGTGTCTTTTCTTCATACTAAAGGCAGAGAACTGCTTCAGTAAATATTGAGAGGGTACTTTCTCTACATAGACATAGGAAAAAAGGCTGCATAGACATAGAAATTGCTATAATGTTTGAACCTGAACAGATATTTGCACATAAACACAGTATCATGTCCAATATTCAACTACCATTCATTCATGCATGTGAGTTCTTAAACATAGTAAAGTACTTGCTCCAAAATAACCTTAATGTTAGACTAATACATATAACCACACCGAGTGTGTCAAAGCAGTTTCCATATAGAAAGTTACTATGATATTAAATTTTACTAAACAAAATATAAAGACCAAAATAAATTCATCAGGTTTGTGCACAAAAATTTGGTAGCAACTCCATTAAAAATTCAGATCCAGTTCTCCTTGCCACAGTCATTGGAAGTTCTCTTTCTTTTGAGATCTGCAACAGCACAAAATAGATAATGAGCTTTTTATGATATTGTATTCATATAGCACATACAACATGTAATAACTTATTATCAATCAACTTAACCTTCAGTTTTTTTTTAACAGTAGAATTCCTTTGAATGTTCTTGTCATCTCCAAGATCATTTATCCTTAAAGGTGAAATTTTGAAAATCTTTTCCATCTTTGGCTTGAGCAAAGTGTTAGTCAAGGGAGTGTACACAACTTTATCTCTTGAAATATTTTTAGGTGTCTGTAGGAGTACCTCTTCATGTAGATCAACAACTTTAACTTCTTGGGATTTCTTTGTAGAGAAAATTAGATGTAATGTACTATACATTGCCATTAAAATAATAAGCATTTCTAATAACTTTGATAAGTTTGATAACTTCAAATATTAGGTGTGTACCTGTGAATCACCTTCAATAACTTCGATAAGTTTTGTAACAGTGAAGCTCTCATTTCCTGTTTCATCATTATAAAAATAAAACTATGCAAAACAGATTTAAAGCTATCATTAAATTTGTAGGATATTATCGCGATATATATTAGATAAATGTATTAGATCAATAATCAAACAAAATAATTGCTTACCTTCTTTGAAGTTGTACTTTGTTAGCTTAACCTGAACTTTTATAGTCTTCCCAATAATTAATTTGATCATCTCTAGGAATATCTCCCTTTCATTGTCCGGCACAAAATCACACATTAGTTAAGAAATTCTTAATACATTTATCTTTTAATGTGAAGCAGTTTGATTATTTAGAGGTCGAGCTTACATATTCTATTATTCTTGATACCTCCTGGGTTGAAACTTTGATTAAATTTTCTGCTTCCTTTCCAAAGACAACGAATGTGCTGATTGTAGTTTTATCTTCCACATCCAATGTTTTTCTATACCTATTGATAATTTTATATTTAGAAAAATATGTAGTCAGAGTAAAAAGTCTGAGAATAATTTATTTGTAGCATGAAATAAATTAATTGTTTACTTGTTCTCTGCTAGGACTTCCTTGTTACATTGTATGCACCAATAGGTGTTCCCTGATTCCATCGTTTTCTTGTTGCAATATGAACACCCATGGTATCTCCATTTTTGTTCAAGTATGCCATTAATTTTCACCTGACATAAGAAATGATAGACCTGCACAAATTCATGATAATGAAGTCTATTCTCTTGAAAAATAAAATTTGATTCAACATATGAGTGTTTTTGTAACTTACTTCGCCTGTTTTCGGGTCTTCAAAGTATATTAATTCCATCAAAGTTGCTATTTCAAATTTTACTAACTTTGGTTGGCTTGGATTGAAGTTTACTGGTGTGGCAATAACTTGCAATTCAGTTTCGGAGTCCGTATTTCTGTACATATACATATTTTATTTAAAATTATGTATAAAAATTGGAAAATGATGTTAAAGTAAATCATATTGTGTATGAAGCAAATGTTATAGTACATGTGCATGTGTACATCAATAATTTTAATGTTTACAAAAATAATAATGGCTAATTTTTGCCGTATATGCAGTTTAAAGATTACATATGTGATAGTTCCAATACCCGTGACTCTTCGATGTTTATGTAAACTTTTGAACCCGTACTTGCTGATGCTGAGAATTGACCTGAACAAATTATAGCTTTTATTTTAAAATTATTCCATAAAATCTTAGTTGATTGGTATAAATATTATTGTTTCAAGTTATTCGTATTACCTCTGAAAGTATTTATGACAATACCAGTGATAATCATGACCATATTGTTCGGGTCTTGATTTTGAAGTTTGCTTTCCAAGTCAACAGGTAATTTGTTCCATAGTGTAGCTTTGAGTTCAGTATTGCTATAATCAAGGCATATGCACTTTAGTATTGTTAAGATAATTTAATAGAATGAAGCTGCGTTATTTATATATATTCCTACAATGTCGATACTAAATCTCACCTTTCATCTATCAACTTCAATGATCTTCTAGGACAACTCTTTTGTCCATTGCAGTTAGTTCTAATGGGTATATTTCCTTTACAATTTCAAAGATATCTATTGAAGATATAATATATATTTAATACTATCAGAAAACATGTATTATTGAAAAGATGGATCGGCAATTAAAATTACAACCTGTCAAGTAAGATTTATTTGTGCTGAGTGAAGGCAAGTCATTGAATGTTGTGTAGTGGAATTTGTACTTGGGAATTAAAATTTCATAATCTTGCAAGATATGGATTTGAGTCTGCCTGCAGAAACTTATCATAAACTTGTTCCTTGTAGCTCTGTAGTTACCAAATGAATGAATGACTCGAAACTTTGATAGAACATGAATGTTGCCTTCTTCCAACATAGGATGAAATCTAGACATTTCATTAACATGAATACTTCTCTGAATTAAAGTTTCCTGTAGAATATAGATATTATAAAAAATTAAACTTGAATGATGGAAATGTAAATTATGAATTATATTTTGTGCGAAAACATCAATAAAGAAAACAATGGAAGTGACTATAAGGTTATAAATTTCTTACAGATTCGTCCAAGATGATGATATACAGTCCATAATGTTCTTTTGTTTTGATGTTAATATTCTCACATATGTTTGTTACACGGGCCTTAATAGTAACATCTTTTGATTTGATGTTAAGATCCTTGATTGTTGTGTACACTCCAACTTCCATCTTGAACCGTGCAAACCTGTAACCAATTAATAAGTATGATAGATCATATAATTTACATATAAAGCATTAAACTGTATGCAATGTTAGATAATAGAACACAGATTACAATGAATAATTGGACGCAATGTTCGATAAGTTCAGTTTATTTGTATTATGTATGTATACTGCATACCATATCACCAAAGTATACTCAATCTAGTTAAAACTATTGTCATAATATAATAATGACATGCAAGTTACATTGTGTTTGATCCCTGTAATACCTTAATTCAAGTTGTTGAAAATTTTATGATAAACTACATTCACTGTAACTCCATCATAAGCCACATTATCGTCATTATCAACAATAAGAATTTTAAGACCTTGAGGGGTCGTCACTCTTTACACTGCGACGTAAAACTGTCCATGTGTGAAACATGGTCTTGGAAGGTACAAACCCACATAATTCAATGTTTGTCCCTGACTTTTGTTAATAGTCATAGCAAAACATGTTTTAATTGGTAATTGTCTTCGTTTCATATGAAAATTCCATTGAGAATTAGTGTTTATACTGATAATTCTTGAAAGAAAATTCTTTGAACCTATGTGGCTACCACTGATGATTCTAGCCTCGATGACCCATTTTAATAACTGAGTAACAATTAATCTTGTGCCATTACAGAGTCCTTCAATAGGGCTTAGATTACGCAGGAGCATGATTGGAGTTCCTACTTTTAGTTTTATCTCATGATTTGTCATGGAAGGAAATGTCAAAGAATTAAGAAACGCTGTCGGATATAGTGATTGATTTAATTGCAGATTTGGAGATGTTTGGCAAATAGATACTGAACTGAGGTATGTTGTGAGTTCTCCTTCTATTTTATCCAGTACACAATTGTTTATGATGTCAACTGTCTTATTTCTTGGAGTTAGTATTGCTCTTTCTTCCAAATAACTATGATTATAGCAATTCTGTTGGATATCTGGATATGTTGATACAATTATATCTTCTATTGCATCTATTGTTGGTTGAAGTAGAAGTTGCTGTGGAATTACAATTTTAGGCTCCTCTTCGTTCTCACAATCTTTGAAAGATAATGTCCCACTACCAACTTCAAGTACCCATTCACTGAATTCAGACGCATTCATTCCTAGCTGATCAGATGATTGATGTTGGATCCTCATATTCTGTGTCAATTTAAAAAATTTAAAATAATTCCATAACTTAGATCTACTGAGCGTAGCATATATAATATCATGTTTTGAGCCGCGTGGTACGACAGGTAAAATTTGCCTAAAATAACCTCCAAGAACCACTGTTATGCCATCGAAAGGTTTATCTGCCAACATTGAATTATCTTTTCCCATAATATCTCTTAGCGTTCTGTCAACTGCTTCAAATGCAAATCTGTGTATCATTGGAGCTTCATCCTATATATAATAAGCTTTGTCTGTTTAATGAGATTTGCCTCTATAGTTCCTTGTTTAATTCCACATGTTGAATGTTCATTCAATATGATTGGTATTTTAAACCGAGAATGAGCAGTTATCCCATGAGGTAGTAGTATTGATGCTATTCCAGAGGATGCGACTGGAAGGACTATTTTTCCTTCAGAACGAAGTTTTGTGCAAATTGACTTCCACACATAAGTTTTACCAGTCCCTCCATGACCATACAAAAAGTATAGTCCCCCACTTCTGTTGTATACAGAGTCAATAACAGCGTTATATACATCTCGTTGTTGGGTGTTGAGTCCTTAAAAATATATCTCATGTTCCTTTTGCAATTCCTCCCTATTGAAGTTTAACTCTTGACTTATAAGTTTATCACTGCTTTGCTTCAAAAGTTGGGGATCCGGTGTGGGCATTCCATTGAAGTTTAGTAGAGACAGACCATTTTGTAGTAAGAGGTCTTGAATTTCTAAAAGAGCATGGTTCTGAAGCTGAGTATCAGTCATATCCAAAGTTGGCATATTGAGCAATTTTCTTTACATCTCAACAAACCCTTCAGTAAGACACTTCCAATTGTCATTCCGCAGTTTTTTGGGATTTATCACTTCACCAAAGATTAATATCTGTGCAAATAACTGTCTCATTTGACGCCCTGAAGATGAATATGATGTTTCACCTATACCATGTTGCCATTCATTATCATCATCTAATAATATCATTGTTGCACAGGTCTCCTTATAGGTTTGATAAACTGTTCCATTAAACTCTCGTATATCGTCAAATGACTTTGGTCCTTTGACCACATTCAATAATAAGCGAAGATAAAACCTTTCCCCACATGATGGATGTGCATAAACTATCCGTCCGACGCTTTGTCCTTTCTTTCTAAGTTTCCAACATTTCTCATTTTCCTTCCACACAAATTTTGTTGGAAACTCTGCATATGTAAGATCTCTTGCCTTAGGATAACATTTATTTGCTTCCATCCATTCCTTAAATTTGGTTTGTTTGGACTGAACATCATTCACAATATCTTGTAGATTATCATTGTCTTTGAAAACTATTGGCTCATGTTCAACTAAATGAAATGGAAGTCTTTCAACAGAGGGGGTTCGATAGTGGATATCAAAGCCATAAATCCTCCATATTGATTCAGGAGCAAATATATATCTACAATCAAGATAGTGTTGTACTTCATCAAGTCTTTCTTTCGCATTGGAAGAAGATGCTGCATTATTGCTTTTATGTTGAAGAGATGCCGAGACATAATCGGGTCCCTTAGTGATATATTTGAAGAGGTATTTGATAGATCTACCTCTATTACACCATTCGACATTGATATGGGCTTGATACTTAACAACTAAGTTTCGATTGTATGGTACCACATAGCTATTGTCAAGCTTAATTCCTCTTTTTTCAACCCAAACATTTTCATCACATCTCCTACGATATATAGGAAACCCAACATCATCGATGCAGGTCTGGTTGATATATTTCTTAGGGAAATGTTTTGTGCACTTCAAGTTTTTCATACATGGAGATCTTGGTGCAACTTGTCCACATGGTCCATGCATCATATATTTCGATACAGCATCATATCCAACTGGGTCTTTTGTTTTGTCTGGAATTTCAGCGACAATGATTTCATCAATCTTTGTTGGTGTTGGATATCTATGAGCAGGATGTAGCCAAATCAAAATATGTGCATGTGGTAGGCCTCGTTTCTGAAATTCTATTGTATATACCGCTGTAAAAAAATACAGATGCATTTTAGTATACAATGACAAATTAAATAATATATACATAATTTAGAACTTAATTTGCCTAACAACAATTTTGAATCTAATTGCATGTGTACAAAGTCTATGTTTATATTCCTTTTTAATGTTAAAGCTGTAGTTCGTCTTTTTACAGTAAAGGAAAATAGCTTAAACAATGGAAAGAAAAACCTCATCAGACTTTTTTATGCAAATTTTTGTTATGTGCATAAAGAGTTTCATTTTTTTTTAAAACTTCATCAGAACCTTGGCATCTAAATTCGGATGCCCCCTTGAGAAATACGTACTGCATCCACCTTCTGGAACATATTCGACGCTTTGACGTCTATAATGATATATTACCAATTTGAGACGTTAATTTTTCACACTCAATAAGTTTGAAGATACCATCAGTGTTTCAAAATTAATATTCTTGAAGGCGGAAGAATAACCATTCGTATTTCAATCTTGCTTACAGATAAATGAAAATTTGGAGCAGTGGTCATATCTACATGAGTTGTTACCGTGCTCTAAAGATGATTGCGTGAAGGACAAAAATAAGTATGGGCACCATGAAAGTGTTGCGCCTTTGTCATTTCAGAATCAAGTTTTTGAAGGGCCCGACACGTACATAGAAACAGGTGATGAGAATATAACATAAGTGTGATTTGTCCATTTGAAATATGAATATTTGTGCATTCAGATCTTTGCTACTTTGTGTGTGACATTTTTTTTTAGATATACATTGAAAAAATAAAATGGTTTATTTTTCAAAAATCATCACTACGTCTAAGCTTTACGCGCTCATGCACATTTCTTCATACATATATGCATAAACACGTGCACACATGAATTAACACAGTTGTAAAGGTGCACACAGATGAGCATATAGACAAAAACCTGCACCCACTCGCTTGTGCACCTGTTATATATTTTTTGTGCGTCTCTATCTTCAAAAAAAGAGAAACATGTGGTTAGGAGCTTATATGCTTTTATTTTAGTGATATTCTGGTGGGTTGATTTCATTAAAAAGTGATTACTTCTATATCTGAATGATCGGAGATGTAAATATGGTAAATTAAATCGGGCCTGCTATACACTTTTCAAAATGATTAATAAAATTGGTTCATGCAGGTACCTAACTTGCCTTTTTTTAGTTGAAGATATTATTTCATAAACCAAAAAGTGAAGACATATACGTGCCTGTCCTCAATCATAGTGTGTGTCTACTTCATTGTTTTACTTCTGACATTGTAATTGATATTAACTACTTTTTTCTCATATTATAAAAATTATTACTTACAAATGGCATAAGCTTTAGCTGTGGTACTTAAACTTAATTTAAGCATGTAACCAAGAGGAAAGTATATATTGTTTGAGAAGCTAATTAAACTATTGGATAATCTTTATTTCATTAAAATGTGATTACATCTATATGTGAATGATCGAAGATGTAAATATGATAAATTAAATCATACATGTTGTACACTTTCCAAAATGATTATTCATTTGTAGATCCTTCATCAATGAAATCTAGTTGATTCTTGCAACACTCTTTCGCGATATCTGGGTCTTTGCATCAGGGTCTTTGTCCACCATTATTTTTGAGAAACTCAATGATTTCATTCCACTTTGGATTTGATGTTACCGTGATGAAAAGATCAGGGTTTCCCATAACACGGCAAAGAGCTATTGCATCTTGGTATTTTTGGGTCATATAACGTGGTCCGCCGGTGAAAGAGGAAGGTAAAACAATTCTCTTACCTACTTGTGTGCCTTCATTATCTCCTCTATGTAGTGCATCCTTGATACCACAGTATAACTCTGCACGGATCTTTGACTGATTAACTTTAACCCAATGAAGTCTTTCCTCCTCAATGCAGGTCATGAGATCCACAATGTAAGTTTGTAATAGTTTCCCTGATAATAGTAATGTTTTTGCCTCAGTCTGACGCTGCTACAAACGAAATGAAGCATACTCCATGTATGTAACTTCTTTCCTTTTTTCTGAGCATGGTTGGTGTTTTGATTAAGTTCCACGCCAAGTCTAAAACCATCCTCTCCATATGGAAAAAGTAGGGGATGTTGCATTGCCATAAAGTTTGGGTGGAGATCACTTATCCTTGTTAATCCCAATTTATGATCATCAACAACAATGTCTCGAATGCCAATTGTATCTTCAATGTTGCCGACAATTAAGCCAGCAATCTCCCCTGCAGTTGGCATGTTTTGATGTCGGCCGTCACCGCTTCGGGCTGCCTTTATAATCAATTTGATAGGAATTAAACTATCTTGTTTTAGTCTATCCCTCACCATTCGAAAGCATTTAACCAATTCATTACATGAATCTAACATAGTTAGAAGTCCTTCAACTATATCCCAATCTAATTCCATGTAATTATTTAACGCATTCATATGATTTTCTAATTCATTATCTGTATCATAAATGTAGAGATGACAGAATTTTGGGTTATTTCCAGGGACTGGTCTCAAAGAATCTATTTTGTGATGGTTTGACCATTTAGACGGAAACAATAAGGCCCACCTCCATTATTGTATGCATTGTCAATTGTCCCGCCTGAGGAAGTAAATGCAAAGATTGAGTTATAACTTCTGATATTTTCTTTAAATTTCTTGCTTCTGCTATCTTAACCGGTTAACAAATTCCAGAGAAAAGCGGGAGGATGCTTGAGGAGAGAAAATTTGACAGAGCCTTTTCGACAGCATAATGAGAAAGTTGGATTCTCAGGTCTCCTTGATTTATCAGCTCTTTCTTCATACCAAAGCATAGCATCACAATGTTCGCAAATAAAAGTTGGTGATCCAACATTATGTATATCACTGTACAGACCTAGAAGTACACAACAAATGACAATGTTATACAACAAATGACAATGCATCAATGTCAACAGCATATGATGCAAGAAAATGGGGACAATTATTTGACATGAAAATAAAGTAAGGAAATTATACATTTCTCATTGATTTGTTTGTCTTTTCTCCTTCCTTTGTTGCTAGGAATAACTGAATTAGATTGGTTATGGTTTGTAATAGGTTGTACACTATCCTCCATTTGCAAGTGAGAATCGTCGAATGATGAATCAATTAATATCTGTTCGATCCTTGTACGCTTGATAATAACCGGGGATGTATCCTGAAAGAAAGTAGTGCTACAGGTACCGTTATCTCTATGAACAACTTTCCTCTTTCCTGGTCTCTCTTTGTTATTATAGGATCGAAGAGCTGAAAACAGATGACGGCTTGTTAGTATTAATGAATAAAAGTTTGTCAAAGTTGTAGTGCGTCAACAAAGAGGGAGTACTTTCTCACTTTGATTGGTCAGGTCAATGATCTGTGATTCCGACGAATTCAACTCTGTAGGTAATAATTTTAATAATTTAAGGTTATTGCTGTAGATTTCTATTAACTATCAAATTAGGCATTAGTTTATATAAAGATTGTTACCTGTTATTCTGTCAATGAGCTTTGGAGATGCAGGTGATGTGAAAGAACTAACATCCATTAAGCTGCTACTTATATTCTCCATAATATGCTCCGAAAGATATTTTCTCAGAAAGTGCGAATTGATATATTCTCCGAGAGAGATTTTCTAGTAAATGGTAGCATACATTCCATATATGCTCAGAAAGTTCCATATATGCGCAGAAAGATGTGTGGTAAGTTACCTTATTCACTTGCATATATACTTGTATATATGCTCCGAAAGATATGCAGCATACATTCCACGTATGCTCAAAAAGTTGTGTTAAATGGGTGGATAGATGCCACAAATACTGATACTAAGATATAGAAAACTGAATATTTCCAGTTTATAACAAATTTTGAATCATGATACAATATAAAATGTGTACAGGTTATATCAGAGTCAAATTAATATTCAATAAGTTAACATTTTCAGAAGTATATATATTCATGAATTAAAGAACAAAGAAGACCTCTAATACTGAAAGGAGCATAGCATACTTACAAAATGATTTAAGAGTTGATTCCATAAGCTTTTTTCACTTCTATATAATTGAAACCAAAAAATCATAATTTAGCTCCGGTACTTGAAATAAAATTTAAGCAGGTAACCAAGAGGAAAGTATACATTGCTTGAGAAGCTAATTAAACTAATGTAAGAAGTTGGTCATCATAAATGCTTTAAAAATTGAGTTTGATATGAAAAATGTGATGTATATAGGCAGAAATCAGGCATAAATCATAAATGTGTTAAATACTGACTTAATCATAAAATAATCAAGAAATAGTGACCTTATTGCTAATTGAAGAACATGTTGGAGAAAATTGAGAAAGGGTAAAAAAAATCACCCAAGCAAGAGGTTATTGTGAGATTGTTGGAATAAGAAAAGATTTTAGATTGTATATATATATATTTCCTTATTGCTCTTTTATGGCATGACAACTTATTATAAATTATAATTTAAGTTTTGCCTCTTTTTTTCAGATTGCCGCTTTTTTCACAGCTTGTTTGAAAAGACTTTGCATTCAAAAATTTGGTGGTTTTTTCAAAATTTTGGTAAGCTGGAGAATTTTCACACATTTTCGCTGAAGTTCAATGCACACGCAACGTATATGTGGGGCCCTCATAACGCTGTAGCAATTCCAGATATTGAAGAGATATTTAGCTATACTATACTTTGATTAATTTTTTTCACAGATTGCCACTCTCTTTTGTTTTGTTTTTTTTTTTTTTTGGTTTACCCATGTATATGTGAGGTTTAAGCAGGATAATTTTGTAAGCAGAATATGCGGGGCCCACTCAAGTTTGATTAATTTTGTAAGCTGGAAAATTTCGGTAATGTTGGGTGAACATGGGCTTGGTTTAATTAATTTTGTAAGCTGGAGAATTTTCACATTGCTGCTCAAGTTCGATGCGCCTGTATAGGCCCTCAAAACGCTGTAGCAATTCCATATTTTGAAGAGGTATTTAGCAACTTTGTTTAATTTTTTTTCCACATACTCTCTCTCTCTCTCTCTCTCTCTCTCTCTCTCTCTCTCTCTCTCCACACACTCTCTCTCTCTCTCTCTCTCTCTCTCTCTCTCTCTCTCTCTCTCTCTCTCTCTCTTGTTTTTTTGGTTTACCCATGTATATGTATGTGAGGTGTAAGAAGGATAATTTTGTAAGCAGAATATGTGGGGTCCACTCAAGTTTGATTAATTTTGTAAGCTGGAAAATTTTTGTAATGCTGGGTGATCATGGCTTGGTTTATTTAATTTTGTAAGCTGGAGAAATTGTGGGGGTGTTTTTGAATTTTTTTAATCTTGAGCTGACGTTTGGACAAATGGGAGGAGAGAGAATTACTGTAGCATGAACAATAACTCTCTGATCCTCCCATTTGCATAGAAGAATAGATACCTGTAATTTTGGAAAATTACCCCTAGTCTATGCATATACGCATGTATTGTATGTGTCATGTTTTATAATGTTGAGTCAGGAGTTTAGGTTTCAGATAGGTGTGGGTAGCATATATAAATTCGTATCATCTGAAGCAACGCTGTAATGATTTCCTGTAAATTAGTTGTCTGGAGATATAAAACTTGGAAACATGTTCAATAATATTTATGCGCTTCTGCAGGACCGCAGCAGCGTCTGAAGTGCATTTGATCTCTCTCTAAGCATTGAACTGTATAGATGATACGCTAACTCCTTACTTCCAGTTGTTGATGATGTATATATTCAATCTTTGGCAGCAAACGGCAACTACTCTGACAAAAATTGCTCAACAAAATTGACAACAGGAGAGTATACAATGTTAGGAATCTTGACCCCCAAGATTAGTTTATTTTGATGATAACAAATATTATATGTTGTGTGTATTATGTGCTAACATTTGTTTTGCAGTATCAAAGCTATATCAACAATTATATTCAAAGAGATACTCAAGACATAGATGAGTTCAAGGCAAAATGAAGCAAAGAAGAAGATATACTTTATTATCAAAATGTAATTTTATATTTTCTTTGCTTAGAAATTTGTACAAACCTTGATCACTCACACACATGCACACACATAGTGTTAGAACACACTAACACATGCTTAGTGTGTTGGTTAACAATAGAAATCCCCTATGTTAGCCATTAGAGTTTATAGATATTGAGTGAGTCTTAAAACATTTTATTTACACCCCTTAGAAATTAGAATCTGGAAAAACTTAAAAGACCAAAGTTGTAGGTCTCTTCAACAGCTTTCCAACAAATCTTAAATCACCTTATTCCGATATCGGATGAGAAAGTTACAGCCAAAACACTGAAAAGAAAATTTCATAATCTGTGAGTTTACAGTGTAGTCGACTACTATGCCTTGTAGTCGACTACTAAGCAATTTTCTGACTTCACGGTCTGTTTAGACTCAGTGTAGTCGACTACTATGACTTGTAGTCGACTATAGATGTAGTTTTTTTAGATTTTAGGTTTTGAATAAGTGACTGTTTATAGCCGTTTTGTGGACGTTAATTGGGTTTAAAATTATGTCATTTCAGAGGCTATAAATAGGTTTAAACATCAGAAAACAACAACCAAGTTTTACACTTACAAGATCAAACATTTTGTGCATATTCACTCTCTAATTTTCCAGATTTTCATGCTAAGTGTTTAGAAAAAGAGAGTTTCTGATATTGCCTTGGTTTCAATCATTCTTAGAGATTGTATAGGCAATATTCAGAGAGTTAAAAGAATCCTAAACCACTGCAGCACTTCACTACACATTCAAGGCTTATAGGATCAATTGTGTTCTTGCTTCAAAAAGGATTTCTCTCGGGTTTGAGAGGGTTGATCTCTTGGTTTAGAGATTGGGTGGCAATTGGCATGGTCTTGTCAATTGGTGTTGCAATTTGCATGGTCTTGCAAATTGGTCAGGTTTGCTTTTGATTTTGTAAGGTTTCAAAATCATAGTGAAAATCTCAAGCGGGATTTGCTTGGGGACTGAATGTACACCGGGGAGGTGCAACCAGTATACATGCTTGTGTTTGTGATGTTTATTTTCTGAGATTATCATTCTTTCTTTGCAATTTATAATCTACTTTGCAAACTCACCCTCTAGTGTTTAAATGTAAAGCTTCAGCAGGTTTTTATAAGAGCGCACTCTATTCTTAAGGGTCACGATCCTACACTTGGTATACATAAGCAAAACAGGACCCTACATACAACACAGAGACAAGCGCACACCCAGGCACGTGAACAGATCAGTCACAATTATTTCACATCACACGAGTGAGCGGGTGAGGGAAAATTCCACATGCACAAAGTAAAATTAATATGTACCCAAGATAATGCATCAAAGATGTAGATATGCGGGCATAAAGTACAAGAAAATGCTCTAAGTTAATATCCAACCGGATAGCACATCTAATGGAGATACCAGTAAACAAATCATTGTTAGGTTGTAGATCATAAATCTTGATTTATGACAGAGTGACTCAAACCATGGATTGAGTCATGAACAATCCTTCTTGCTTGATAATTATGCCATGCTTTTCCGATCTGAGAAAATAGTCTCCAGCGAGTCATGAACAATCCTTCTTGCTTGATAATTATGCCATGCTTTTCCGATCTGAGAAAATAGTCTCCAGCATGGAAATAAACAAAGAAATATTTCGATAATTATGCCATGCTTTTCCGATCTGAGAAAATAGTCTCCAGCATGGAAATAAACAAAGAAATATTTCGAAACACTTACCAATAGAATCCTAAGTATACAATACCAAAGGGTTCTAAGAGATGAAAATTTCTATTGGCCCTGACCCGACAGGAAAACTAAGGTAGAATTGTATTTGTTCGATAGAGTAAGCAACAAGAAAGAAAGCTTCAACAAATAACACTTTAATAGAAAACATCCTGCAAAACAAGAGCCATCAACTTCTCAGATTATAACAAGCACTGGGCAGCTTAGCTGGACAAAAGAACATGTGTAGTAGAAGTCAATTATACTAAATTTCTTCCAGTATTAACAATGCATCTTATCAACAAGTATCAATTGATCCTAGAGCAACTCACAATAAAAATCTTCAACAAGCAGACTGTATAACAACCAAAACAATTAATTATGCTAAGTTGTCTTTGATAATTACAAAAATGTTTCAAGGTATAATAGCTTTTCAACGATTATTACTTAGCAATAGGCACTGTTGGAACTTATTTATAATGAATCCAATGCTAAACAAGGTCTCGGTCATGTTTATGTTGGTGAAATAAAATTTTCAGAACTGATAATTCGGCTAACTTTTCTACAAATATTTTTTAAAAATAAAAAAAAAATGAAATCATACAAGAACAGAAGTACTTTTGGCAATCGAGTAATAGAAACAATAAAAAATATTCTTTAAACAAAATGAAAGATATGATTCGTAAAAAAGAAGGCACATAATTTATGTTGTGTTCGTTTTGCTGCCTAAACTAACACACCACTATTCAAGGTTAACTTATTCAAATTAGACGTTAAAGCTCCACTCTTCATTTAATCTATTTACAGGCATTTACCTTTTCATTTTCATAAAATCAACTAAAAGCAAAAAAGAAATGGAAAGGTACTGCAAACAAATCTTCGTAATAAGTTCTTGCGACATTTACATGGAAAGAAATTTGTGCAGAAATTGCATTTAGATAAAACCATTGTCTTCTTAATACCTGAATATCCTATTTCCGACAACAACACGACAAAACACAACTCTTAAGTCTTGCTTTTAGCCATAAAAGGACATAAAACTGTCTTCTTAGACAAACATTGCATCTCTTACCTGGCAAAGCTTCTGCCTAATAAGGCATGGGAGGTCACTAGTACCGCATGTGGCAAAACTAGAGCTCATCGCCTTTTCTGGACCCCACGCATTAGAGATGCATTCAGCTCTTTCTCTCATGCAGTCGGGGAAAAACCAATCTCTATGTGCTGCTTATGTCACAGTTCTAAATCTTGCTTTTAGTCATAAGGGCATAAAACTATCTTGTTGCACAAATATTGTATCTCTCCTGGCAAGCTTTTGCCCAAGAAGGCATGGCAGACGAATCCACCAATGACAAATATTGTATAAGCTGCATTCAGCTCTTTCACTCATGCAGTCGGAGCAAAAAACAATCCTATGCAGTGTATACGTGACAGCATATCTATTGGTCCTCATTTGTAACTATAAAAGTTTTTTTTTTTTTTTTTTTTTTT